TTTTTTTTATTTATGCATTTTTTTTTTTTTTTTGGACTGTTTTTTTTTTTCGCCCTCTCGCACCGATTTTGGGTTACTCAGAGGATGTCATCCATAAAAATAAAAAAGTGTGGCCTAAGTGTTCGCCAACAACGAGTGAAATGTTATAAAAATAAAGCCACACATCTCACCCGGGAAGTACCGCCTACTGCTGACCTATCAACGAGCTAGAGCCGCAGAAACTTCCACATTGTTTTCTCTCTGACATCGCTTAGTGCACAAAGAGTAAAACACACAGTGCCCTGTTTCACCGGGTCAAGCAAATAAAGGTGTTCGATGCAGCCTCTGAGCTTGAACATTGTAAAGGTCGCTCATTGCAAAATACTACATGTATCCTCTACCATGCAGGGACACAGATCGATTTTTACAAGATATTCACACATATGTCTTTAGATAAATAGAGTCATTTGAATCTTGCTTTGTGAAAAATTGCCTATTAATATATGGCACCCCGGTAGAGGGTAGCAAAATACTAGAGGGAAATTGATGATAAAAAGTGAAGTGATTTTGACGCATATGTATAAAGTGTGACCCAATTACATCCCGTTGCGTGACGCACTACAAACAAACCCGTCTTTAAAATACATATATGTAAAGCCAGCTTGTCATATGTGCATGACTGATCAGGTTAGGTTATCTTCAACCATCTTAGATAAGTCACGGGAGTTACCGAACGCAAGTCATTTTGAAGCAAAAGAAAAGAAGTCACGTACTTGATAAAGTGCCAATTTGTAAATCTATCAAACAAACCTTTATAGGTATTGAGGGTCGTTTCGTACTCAGGAAGGCCCTCTTAATATATAACAATCCTTTTTTAACGTCTGCATATAGGGAATATATCCACATGACAGGTTGCGAGTGTCACCAACTGTGACAGCCACAGAATACTGTACCACTACTATTGTGGCGTAACAATCAGCAAGCTATTGTCAGTATGTCAGCCTCCCTCTTCGTGTGCTACATGTATCTCTATCCATGGATCAGCTTACCTTCTTAACGACTCCACGTCTTCTGGCATAAAACCTTTATAAACAAAACTGTTTCGCTATCATATGATCGACGTTATTTCACGTGCTTATAATGGCTTCATTCCCTTGACTGCAGCTGATCTAGCTCTAAGTGAGTACAATGTCTATATTAAGATAGGAATCCGGCTGACATGAGTTACTTACCACTCCATCAACTCTGTGTTTGACATGTAGATCTGAGACAAGGAAGTGGAGGACCCGATATGATTAATAGTCCATTTACACGATCTCTACGCTAGCCAGATGATGTCAATTTCGTGTGTACATTTTCCAATAAGCTGGAGCTATGGGTGGTATTCTTTGATATTTGAACTCTTTCCATTATTCAATATTAGCATGGTATCCGCTTATTATATGACTATGGCTGTGAAATAGCCCGTATCAGATACGCATTAAAAATACACGACATGCATATATATGAAAGAGACTAATAGAAAGGGAACACGAGAGAGAGAGAGAAGGGGGAGATGTGTGTGTGTGTGTGTGTGTGTGTGTGTGTGGAGAGAGAGAGAGTATCAGAGGAATACACCGTTTCAGAACACTTTACCTTAGGCACGGTCTCCAGCAAGAACCGGCAACAGTACAATATCCCCAATATTCCACGTCGAACGCCTCCAGGGGAACTATAAAGTCAAGAACAGCGACTGAAGCAGGACTTCTAGCTGTGGCTCTTAACCACGGCACTAGTACTGTCCTGTTATATATATTCCTTAACTTGACCCGTTAAAACGCCAGCCCATCTATTGTCAGGGATTCTAACCGGTATGAACCGAGTTTACAACGTACAGTCCGTCTATTGAAACCGAACACGCTGACGATGACAGTCAAGAACGATGGACTAACCTTAAAAGAACGGCCTTTTTCTCTGTTCAGTGCTTGTCAGTACTTCCAAGCTGACGCCTGACCCGTGACCTCATATAGAGGTCAACGTTCCCACTATGATCTACAAGTCGCCTTGGCGGTGTGGTATCTTAACGACGTTTTATGGAAGCCAGTGATAAGAACAGGCATGCGTATATTTGTATCATCACTGCCACGGTCCACGCACTGACGCAGACATAAGAACTCACCTATCAAGATGAACTCGGCCACGACTACTGACAGGAGCCGTGTGCGACTGTTTCCCCTTCACTCTGAACAACAACTTGATTAATGCGTGACTCATCGATAAGAGCGATAAACGGCTGCGCGTGCCTGCTCCCCCACCGCTAAGCCAGGCCTGCTCGTGTTTGTTTACTTAAATAAAATACATTTCGACCAGATTGATACGGACTGGGGGGATATTTATCGAAGTATAAAGTGCAGCCTGACTAGTTGAATACAAATAACACAGGCACGATCACGTTACATGCAGTTAGATGCCTAGTAGTGATCATGAAGCTGTTTTATTTACCCTTTTTTCTGGTTGCTGACAGCACATTGTACATTGTACAAAGTACATTGTAAGCGAAGAATTGAATGTGCAAACGATCATTGTCATTTTAAAGTTGGCAAGGATAAATATGGTCATATGTGAGTAGGGGTGGGGGTTAGTCTTGAAAGGTTGAGTAGACATCCTGGTTCTCGTATTTATTTAGTAATTTATTCCTGAACAAAGTTTCTTTTCACATCATGACTATCAACATTCTTCTCTATCTTCAGCGGTTTTGTAGTTTACAAAGAGAATGAAGAGTCAGAGAGGGCCAGATAGGAAGGAGAGAGACATTTGCCGGTTTAAGCCTCACGGAACTATTGTTTTCAGAACATTTCCAAGAAATGGAATGAAGCGAGTGCGTAAACCGTTGATAATGTGTGTGTAAGTGTGTGTGTGTGTGTGTGAGTGTGTGTGTGTGTGTGTGTGTGTGTGTGTGCTTGTGTTTGTGTGTCGCACTTTTGACACCTTTCTCTCACCCTATTAACGTAATTTTTTCCACCCTTTGAAAACTGATTCCTCGGGAATCGAGCTTGGATGAAAGGCAAATTTACAGAGAGCGAGGTGATACAATACACTGGGTATGTGCAGGAAAGTAACCACAAGTCGATAATTCAAGTGACATTTCATCTCAATTTCCATCAGGTCGCAGTCCCAGGGCTGGCTTTTTGCGGATATTTCATTATAATTTGCTTTCCGGGGTATGCAACCAGTTATTAAGCAGAAAATTTTTGCCCTATTTATTACGATTTTAATCAGCGGCATAAAAAGAGTGTCATTTCGTTATTGTGTCATCACCACAGTCACGTGATCAACAAGTCCACACACAGCCGTACTCGGATTATAATAGTCTTATAAGTAAATCGAACAACCTTCTCGGAGAAGTTGGACAGCAGCAGCGTGAAAAAAGCAAGACGAAATGCACAACTCACAGCATCTAAAATGTTTGATATCAACAGGGGCAGTCTTGAATTAGGCCGTCATGTCTTTTATTCATATGAGTGTGTGATTTTAAATTCAGTTACGCCTTAGGTGTTAAACATACCTGTGCGCGCCTTCCACTTTATATTCCAAGGAAAAGACATCACTAGTTTTGTATTTCTGCATGCCTCTGGGGATAATATGGGGATATGGTTGTGCATAGCAAATACAATATATACCGTATACTAAAACATAAAATCAATAAGCCATTCTTTCTCTTAATGCACTGCGGCGACCGCAAATCACGCAACTTTACAAAAACCTATTGCAATTGGTCATTGTTATTACCATACGGTGTCGAACTCGCCTCTCTCTTTAATGAAGAAAAATTTATAGAGCAACGAAGCACCGGGGCAAATCACGATGTTGAATCTTCCAGAAATCTCAAACTGTCTATGCTATGTCTTGTATATTTGTAAGCACAGAATAGGTGGAGCACTTCTGTTTCCGTTATATGTCTGTATGCAGGTCGCGTTTACTTTAGGCAGCTATAACTTTAAGTTAAGTGATTGAAGATGGCGCGTCGCTGCTTGACTGCTGCCGTGATTTGATAGAAAGAGAAAGTTTGCACTTTTAACCATCTAGTTTCTTAGAAACCAAAGTACGTGTGCTTCAACTCCAATAAGAATCTGTCGCTATAAGCTTAGGGAAAGAAATAAAAGCCCCGATGTTGATGGAGAACTGAAAGGTTTCAAAAATTGAGCCTACGTCATGCAACATTGCGTTGTTTTGGGTTTTTTGATCTCAGCAAATTCACGTTTGAGTTATCTCGGTTATTTTTGAAGTTGCATGATTTCTTTAGAGAGCTCCTTTTCCTTTGGACTTGCTTGATATGGCTTCAAAGAAGAACATTTAAAACAAGTGTGTGGATGAAAGGAGGCAGTGTCTGTCAAAAAAAAAAAAAAAAAAAATTCAACCTTTATCAATGAACGTATGAACTTTATCTGGTGAAATATTTACAGAAAGTGTTCATATGAAAAACGATTTAGAGAATTTAAATATTTAAATTGTCACGTCGGTGGTGTTGGTAAGGCCACAAACTGTTCACGAACATAGTATTAAGAGAGTCGAAAATCCGTTCTTCCTCTTTTATGTGGGTCTACATTTTCTTACAAAAATTACCCCCGCCCCAATATCATCAACGACCTCCCACTCCAACACAATTGCTAGGTATCTGATATCCTCGGCTGGTATAAAAAACCTCAAGACTGTGTTCGAGATGTAACGTGGTAGCCCGCAACACGGTTTGCTACCAGTATTGATTAAATGTACACTGTCACCGGCATGTCTTTGTTCCTAGGTTGGGGAGTTTTATGTCACAATTCTATTTCTTCACAGACAAACACACACGCAGACACACACACACACGCACACACACAGACACACACACACGAACGCACACAGACATACACACACATACTCGCTCTCCCTCTTTCTTCCAGCCAAGCTGTGGCGATTCTTCTCGTCCATCACCGCGGTGTGTCTGTGGATAACTGACTTAAACCCACAAGTGATAACTATAACCCCTTTGTCACCTTGGTGCAAAGGGTCTCTGGTAAAGTACCGTGACCGTAGGATGAGATCAACTTTATCACGCAAATCTGTATCGTACTTAGTTTCTCTCCCGTTATTTCTACTGGTAGCTCAGGGTTTGTATTTAAACGGTTTGAATTGGCGTAAAATCAACAACAAGAAACCAGTAACTGTGACCATATTATAAAAATATATTTTCTATCTGTAGCAAAATAAATAAACCAATATACAAAAATTAACAACAAACAGCAACAATAACGAGGCAACTGGAGTACAAAAAACGCCATGTTGTCCACTACGGCTAAATACACTTGTAAACAGGCCTGAAAAATGTCTTGTATATCGTCTTGTAGATGGTTCTGAAAAACAAAAATAACAACTCATTGAGGTGGCGAAAACTATACGAAAACTATAATAGCACGGGCTGACTTGTACTAACTTAGGCAAAGATTTATACGAATTTCGGATGCATGGCCGCTTATGTTGAGCTGTAGTAGCCTACAAGTTTTCTAAACCGTGCAGAATAAAACGACTGACACGATTTAATGCGATTGTCAATTTGATACATACTACGGTGAATTTGCCTTCATTCTACTTCTTCTGTCCACAACACTGAGCACATTTATCACATGCTCAAAGTGGAAACATAAAATGTTCAGTGGGAAATTACCTGACTTCCGTGCACGTTTTCCAGCCCCAAGGCCCACACTTTGTTTCATAGGCTTGTTTATATTTTCTCTGGTAGCCTCTTCGGTATGACTCGCTTGTCTGGACGTAACGGCAACGTCTATCAAATAAATAATGAAATAAATAAATAAATGAATAATATACATAAATAAATAAAGCGTCATCATTTCTGAGAAAAACTAACGTAAAGGATGAATTTCAAATTTAATGTTGACATCCGATATGTTAATAGAGGCGCATAAATTTGTTTTGACTCCAAAGCTACATGTACATTAATTTATCTAGCGCTTCTGTTTTCTTATACCTTGCATATTGATACATTTTGCACTAAACCTCACAAGCAAGACTGCAGAGTTGTTCGAAGTTGTAAGGAAGCCTTTTGCTCTCAGATGACCTAGTTTAGTGGCAATTGTGCAACGATTTCTAGGAAGACAAAATCAGTGACTGTCCCTTACTTTTTCTCACATGATTTTCCATAAAACCCGTTTTTACAGCGGCAGTGGCTAGGGGCTATACAGTCCCCTCCGTTGTGACATCCACGGGGGCAGGTGGCTGGAAAAATGAAGAAAAATCGAATTTCAAACTAATTTTAATTAAATGTTTAAATTGAAAATTATCACAAAATTGCAGCATTCATTGCAAATTCAAAACGGCAATTTTCTCTCGGTACGTTCAGTAATGACTAGGAAAAAACATTTATGTGTGAAAAATCAAAGTGCTAATGTTGTTGACATGTACAGGAAAAGGAAGACTAAAAAGGCCCTATCATGCTGATTGCAATTCTCCCGTACCTGTCTGGCAGTAGTTTCCAGTGTAACCACGTGGGCAGGAGCACGTGTTCGGTCCAGTGCACGTGCCACCGTTAATACATTTCGACGAGCAAGTAACTGAAAGAGTAAACATCACTATGAAGTATTTTTGTATCTTTAAATAGTTTTTTTTTCGTACAATATACCACCACGCGTACATTATTATTATCATTATTATTATTACTACTTAGTTTTGAGAATTCAAAATTAAATGAAGAAAGTATTTTCATAATTCAATGCTACATTTCGCACCAATTTCCTGTATATACAATAAATGCATTATATGTTTAAAAATTGTAAATATACATGGCTGAATAGTACCTGACCGTTATGCTAACGATATCCATTATTTGTACTTGAGTGTAACGTTCACTACTTACAAGTCTCACAATATTTCCCCTCACTACCGCTCTTGCATTGGCACGTGTACGGACTGACACAGGAGCCGCCATTTTGGCAGTCAGGAAAACAGATTGCTGGAATCACAAACGTGGGCATTAATCAATGAAGCACGGCACTATTTAGGCTTATTCAATGCTGACAATCACTTGGACTTTTTATACAGGCATTAACAGCGTAACAATTTACTCACGAGAGCCAGAATTTTGATAAATGCTTGCTCTCTGTCTCTAACACGTACATGCGCGCAAAATCAAACACACAACCATATATCCACGCACAAGCGCACACACAAACAAACAAACAAACAAACAAACAAACAAACACACACACACACACACAGAGAGAGAGAGAGAGAGAGAGAGAGCAGTATACTTACGGGACTGACATTGTCTCCCCATGTAGCCATTCCTACAGGAGCACCTATTAGGACCCACACATCTCCCGCCGTTAGCACAACCATGTCTGCACACAGCTGAAATATACAGAACAATAAGATTATCATCTGCCCTGTAACTGTGTCACAGTCACGTAGTCTACATAACCCAGCATGTCTGTAACTTTGTACTGCATCGCAGTCCACATAACAAAGATGAGCAATTGGTTGAATAAATTGCGTTAGTTGAGATCGAGTGCCGCAACACCTCCATCGCAATTGTCTGCAGTTGCACCCCTCTGCTTTTCTCTAACACAATGAGAGCTACAAAAGAATACTGTTGATGGGTTTCCTAAACGATATCTCTTTCTATTCAAAAGTAAATATTGCACTGACCACAATGTTTGAAAAAACCACACGGGGCCATTATAATATACCTAGTGGATTCTAAAACTGTTCAAGGCATTGGTACAGAAAAAAAAAAGAAAACATGGAGCACACTCATTCAGTGATCTGACAAGGTAATCGACAGCATCTTTCCAGATTTAATTTTTCTACGAGTCTCGCTAACAAGTACATTCCCAAAGTGTCGCCATCTATCGGTTTAATTACTTACGAGTCTGGCACCTGTCTCCCGTGTACTGCGTGGAACACTTGCACATCCCGGGTGCCACACATTCCCCGCCATTTAGACAGCCACCGTCACATATAGCTGTAAGATATACCATGGTGTTACACATACGAGGGATCACGAATTAAGATATTTAATTTTTTTTTGCATTTTTTGTAATTTTGGCTTTAAAAAGCATACAAATACACCGCAAATACATGTAGATTGTGCAGCCTTGAATGAGAATCAACGAAAACATAATACGATCTTCATTTACCTAAAGCAGAAAGAAACGCATATCTCCACAAAGTAGAAATAGTAAAGAGTTTAGAAAAATACCATGTGAAATCTGGACATTGTATTCCTAATACTGTACGTCTCCCACGTGTATGCTGTGTAGGGTTGGTACACTTACGTTTACAGTCAGGCAGTCTTGTCCCTGGGGGACAACTACACTGGTTCCTGGCCACACATTTACCACCTTGTTGACACGGGGGAGAACACAGGGCTGCCGAGACAGAGAATGAAGATAAAATTTCATACATACTTTGTTGATAATGTGTCCCATTTACGATAATCCCCTGCAAACCGCTTTTTAATATTAAAATTATCGATAAATTGGAATTCTTCAGTGGTGTCTGAGAACCTTTGCCACAGGGTATTTGGCCCAATATATGTATGCCCATACGTACGTTACTCTTTAATAACAAAGTTTGAAAAACTTCGGTATATTATGACAGACAGTGTTTTTATCTTACCTTTTTGACATCTGTGCCCCTCAAATCCCGGAGGACATAAACATGTGTTGTCTACACAGCGGCCACCGTTTACACACTTCAAATTACACACCTCTGTGAAGAAAAAAATAACAACATGTAGCAAGAGCACAATAGCATCAACGTAGCTAGGTAATTGTTTATTTTAAATTGTGTAAATTAGTAATGTGAAATAAATAGTGAATTTTCATCGCATGTTCTGGCGTTTCTGCACCAGAGCTACTAGCTATCTAAACACTCACCTTTTTCACATTTCTCCCTGTAACACGGCCTCTTCTCCAGGCTCGATTTCCCGTGTCCTAGGCACTCCTCTAAAGCCACGGTATTGTCCTTGCAGAACGCCGTCCGTGTCTCCACACCCCGGTCACATGACACGCTGCACGGGCTCCAGCTGGACCACGTGACTGAAATGACAATGACAACCTCAGTACAGAAAAGACATTGCATGGGCGTGTTTGCCAGTCAGACTTTATCTGCTGAATGTATATATTCAAATGAAGATGGCTGATATTAGCTGAGTTTCTGAAGGTGTGAAGCATAGAACATGTGAACATGTCTTTTTTCTCTAATATCGCATACTTCCTGATATGTTCCTGAAGATTACTAGATATCTTTATCTACACACATACTTTGAATCTATTTATCGACTCTTAATATCTCTCATGTATCCCAAGGCCAAACATCTTGACAGAAATCGTACGTCTTTGACATGTGAAAGATCTTATGAATTCGTGCATAAAATATTTCTGATACATTTGCTCTCATATCGAATATTTGAAAAAACTCATCTATTACCTTCATATCTTGTTCTTCTCTCCTGAGCTTTGGCCAACTCACTGGCCCCGTTCCCGGCGTCGTCTGGCTCCGTCTGTAAGGGCTGCGGCTGTTCGTTCACCACGGCAGCGGCTGGCAATGACGCTTCAAGACTAGTGCTGCCATCTTGCCAGGGTTGACACTGTTGCCTAGCAACGTCAGGGTCCGCTACCAACAGCAGTTGCTCAATCTCACCCTGAAAACATGATTGTAAAACGGACATGAGGCTCGCAATCACTGCGTTGCATTTGTATTCATTGATTGCTATAGCCTCTTAGAATGAATATTTAAGTGTGGACTGCAAATTCCAAATTGTTTCACAACCAATTAAGAATTCAAATAGTATTTTTATATTGACAGTATGTGCTATCTGACAGTTTTAGCTATGCAAAATTTTACATAAAATAAATAATGCAAAAAAATAAATAAATAAATAAATAAATAAATAAAAAAAAAATTACCCACAAAAGACATTTGATATATGATGAGAAAACACACGCTTCTACTTGGAAATACATATACTTTTTTGTTCAGAATAAAGTCACTTACCACAAATTTAGTTTTGGGGTCGAGTTGACCAAACACTCCGCCGATAGATGTCACAGTGTTGATGGGAATGCTGCTCCACTGATCTCTGGAGAAGGCACGAGAAAATTCGAGAGCACAGTCCACATACAAACTCACAGTTTCCCCACGCACACTGAACGCAAATTGGTGCCACTGTCCATCGACCAGATTTGTCGGGAATTTCGGAGACTTATCTCCCGGCTGCCCTCTGTGATCCGTGTATTCAAAAATCGGGGTTTCGCCCAAGCGGATGCCTAGTCGGACTGTTCCGGTTAATTCCGTAATGGATAGAAGGTAACCATGGTTACCGGGCTCGGCACGTGCTGTGACGACGACGGAGAAATCCGGCGGTAATCCGCGAGGTATGACGTGAATTGTAGGCACGTGGACACTTGAGGTAGCATCGAGGATGAAGGCGTTTGGACGGTCCACAGATTGCATGATATAGGGCGATCGTGGTCGGAGTAGTCTGGAGGTGACGTCGATTAAACCTGTGGATAAATGAAGAATATATTACGGCACCCATTTGAGTGAGCTGTGCACATGACTTGCAACTGAATGTTGAGAGAGTCTCTTTGTAAACATGTAGACAATTTGACTTGCTGTTAATGCCAATATGGAAAGTAAAATTTTGTATTTCAGTTTTGCATTTCAGATTTGTTGTCAGAAATAAAATATTCAACATACAACTGTACAACTTTAAGACTCGAGCTTCTGAAAAAAAAAAAAAAAAAAAACAATTCAAATCCTCCATCTTATAAATATAATTTCTTTACATTCATGGGCCCGCTTCAATGCGGTATTTATAGACACGTCAATCTTCTAATAAAACAATAGCAGGGCATGACTCCAAAACTCTTTACTGAGAAAATAGAGCGAACATATTCACGAGGGGGTCACCACGTGGAAAGTGCACTTGGCAACATAGGACCTAACAAAGTGCAGGCCCAGTAATGTTGGTAATAATTTAGTTAAGTACATTGTGTTGTATATGAAGCATGTCTCTTCCCTCCTCAGGCGTGATAACCCATACTGAACACAGATTTAGGGAGATAGATGCTGAAAATAGATCTTTGTTTATATTCCTAGTCAATGTAGTGTAAGATTTATCCGCGAGAAATGAGCTACTCTGCAGTTACTTATTTAATTGTAATGGTTTTTTCAAATGCGTGACGTAAGTGATGCGTATTTTCTTGAAAGAACTGACCGCGTTCGCAGTAGTGTGCAAAAAAGTCCATAAATAAACAAATAAATAAATAAATAAATAAATAAATTGATAGATGAATAAAGTGATAAAATGAAGACGCTTAAATTGACAACCATGACAGTTCAACGTCTGCTCCAAACGGGGAAGTCTTTCTATTACAAAACTAGACATGCCCGCCAGTATTTGTGTCACGCGCAGGGGAGGGGGAGCACGATTGTACTCCAGAATTTGAATCGTTCTTAATCGGATCTAAAATCACGATGTTGAATATCATTGTGCGACTAACAAAGTACAACAAAATAAAACAACAAGAAAGGGAAATAATAAATATACTTTAACTAACTTTAACTTTAGCTAAATAAATTGGCGTTAGTATCTGAAGTTTTGAGAAAATCATTTTAACATAAATAAAATATATTATTTTATGTTTCACACAACAACAACATAAAAAAGAATAAAAAGAGAGGATAAACCCCTTCTCGTGTTGCATTTTACTTTTAAAATAAAAATCGCCGTGGTAAGATCCCGGCTTATATTGCAAGATGCAGCCATCCATTTCCACGTAATCTGCCCCAAGTTGAAGTGCATGACTTTAATGACGCTGACAAGGCCGGTGCAGTGCCTGAGGAAATTTCATCAAACTGCCAGAGGGCAAAACCGTGTTCCAGATATTGCTTCCAGTCCTCCCAGCGCCCACCGTAAAGTTTGAACACAAGACTGTAGACGGGGATATTAGCAGGTCCTGACACTGGGAGAGGAGGTGTGGGTAGTTCTTAGATACGAAGATGTTTAAAATCATATTACATATGTCAATTTATCATTTACTGCAGAAAAAGGATATTACGATAACAGCCGTTTGGTGTTGTAATGTATCATTTTTGTGCTTGCGGAAATTGGCAGTGGAATTTGGGAGTGGAAAGGTGTTCGTAGGAGATTGAATTTAATGACAAAAAAGAATAAACTGTCACGAAAAGCAAACGAACTTAAATGTACAAAAAGCGAGGTCTTAAAGGGCACCAACGCTGTTATAATAGTGAGGTATTGCAGAAAGAAACAGCTGTAATAGATATAAAAAACTGATAATGAGCTCCAACAAAAAGTTTTGAAAATCAATAACCAGAGATAATGCATTAAAAACAAGTAATGATACGTCCACAAAATGACATCGAAATGGAGTTAGTTATTGGCAAAGGCAGTCATGAATGCCAGGCGTACGCGGGAAACACTACTTTTTATGGATTTGAGTTTTCCACTGTTGTATTTTGATCGCCCCGGTTTGGCGCAAACGTTCATTGCCATGAGCCAGTTTAAGTGCACAGAACTCGGCGTCTAAATTGGTAAAACCAATACGTGTTAACAGCGCAGCTTAATTCAAAATGTTGTCCACTGTAATCAATAATAGCAGAGAATTCCAGCTTCATTTGAACACCACTGCTAACTCATTATACAAAATACCCTGATTTAAAGGGCATAGTCAACCCTGATCGATTTTTTTTTCGTTACTAGTAACAAGCCACACGTCAAACATTTACCGTTACACGTGTTAGTTGGGATGATATAATTACCAGAGTGACCAAAGGTCAAGCAAGATAAACAGATTTGTTTACAAAATGTGCTTTGGCGGTCTCCGCCAGCGAGGGGGTGCCCATGGGAAATGGTACCTTAGCTACCTAAACAGCAGGATTTCAAAAATGGTAGGTTCAGTGCAAAGTGTGTAATATTCTGTTGAGGATTAATAATCCTCCCTCAGTGAAATGATATTTCAGACGTTTTAGAATGGAAACCTCTCTATCCGATACATACTTCGTGTCAACTGGCCTGTGTTTTAAGCAGTTAAAGTACATCTCACCTTTGGTGCTGTACATGAATTGTATTTATCGCAAATAAAATTATAAAGGGCATCTATGCAGTCAATTTACCTCAAAATTATTTCCAATTACATTTTATATTAAAATTCATTTATCTTACAGAGTAAACTTTAATAACTTGTGTTTATAAACGCTTACTTCACGCTTACAACATGAAGAAATGATCTATGCATATTCATGTAGTCATCTATAAATCTTTTTCCAGACTCAAATAATATGTGCCCCTGCTTTTATGGAGGTGTGTGTGCGATGGCGACATTGCTAGTTTATACACGTGACAGCAGACTACACACAATGATGGCAATAGACCCCACGATTCTTGACGTTCTTGTCCTGCTTTGCTGTTTGGTTGGCTACCCCACTCACTTGCTACTCTTGTGGCCAAGAATATATATCTGTGTGTTTATGTATGTGTGCGTGTGCTATGTTGAATGTGTGCACGCTTACTACCGGTACAGAGTATATAATGTAGGAGCTGTGGAAATGTTCCCGCCGCAAGCCCCATGCTAGTAGGTGTATTCCACCACGTAGGTGACTCCAGCGACTCCGAGAATAGTTCACACATCAACCAGCTTCAAAGAATGCAAAGTAGTTCAAGATGAAAACGACTCCCAGCCACGACCTTCTCTATTCCACTTGCTGCTCCTTGACTTCTCTTTGAAGTTAGCTCTATGCGTCCCTGGATGTGGTGGCCTTGAGAGTGCCTCTGATGTCTTCCAATAAAGGAATTACACGCCCCTTTCTATTCCTAACAACCCATCCTAAATATCAGTGCTAATGGCGGAAACTTATGGTTTTAGTATTTAAGTAAAGTGTTCCTCGTCGAGAAATTAAAAGCGTCATTTTGTTCTTACTCGTTTTTCAAAATTCTCTTAAAAATGAAAAAGTGATCGGATTTTTGGGATATTTAATCATTTAATATTTCATTTCGAATGATTTATTATTTTATTTTCATATTTTATCCCCAGTGAGAAATCTTAAAATATCTTCCACGCGCGTTTGGCAGTCAATTATTTTGACCTTGAACTTAAAGAACGCTGAACAGTGCGCAACTAATACCATATCAGCAGCATTGCCAAGGGTGGCAGTCTCCACGTTTTTTCTTATTAAATGTGATAATCAAAACCTTGAGCATTTCTCAGTTTGCCTTGTCTTTTCATGCACAACTTATCGAAAAAAGAAAAAAAAATCGAAAAAAAAAAATAATATATATAATAATAATAAAACGTTTGGAAGCGTTACCTAGATTTCTTACCGTGACATTTGAAAATATTGCAGCGTCTCTCTTCTCTTGCCGGACCGTCGCAGCCTCGCGCTTGGCTCGTGCAGTTGCGTTCTCTCACCTGCACGCCCCCGTGACACGTGCTACTGCATGAAGACCACGAAGACCATTCCTTCCATCCTGTAAGTATAAGATAAAAATTATTCTATACCGATAGATGTTCTATATATCTGAGGTGGAAAATCAGTTTCAACTGATTCAGGTGCATACTTGGCTGAACCAAGGCAGCTTCAATGTATACAGTACATGTGGTATTTCTGAGGTTATAAGATATAATAAGTTAAAATATAAAAACACGAAAGCGTTGTAATTGTTTTAAACATGTTTTAACACTTGTATCCAAGGCCCATGGTTTGTTTTTATATTTAACGCATCATTAATGATGGTATTTGAGTTTTTTCGGGGACTGTTTTCAACATACATTGTTTTTTGTCTTTCTTTATTGTCATTTGGATGTTGAATAAAAATTCTATAAACTAACAGAAGTATTTTTAAGATACATCATCTAAAATATCTATATAACCGCACTACCTAAGTGAACAACGCACAAAAAAGGCAGTGCACACAATGGAAGAGGATATACCATTAAACTAAAACATGACATTCCAATTTTGCAAAACAACACAGTTTTCGCTCATTATCTCCAAATTTAAAAATGTAAAACTCGTTACAACCCTGACCCTCGTAAAACACTTCCTATCCGCTCTGAAATTAGACACGACCAGAATATCCCCAGGTTCTAATCCTCACAATTCTCGAATTTCTTTCAAGTTTGCCCCCTGGGGCGGCGGAGGGGTGACATTGATTCTAAGTACAGGCAAACGTGGCAAACAAAGAAAGATTTACGTGGCCAGAATTATGTGAAAATCCTGCCAGGAAAGTTTTGTGCAGTGAGTACAAAGAACTTTCTAAATGATGTTCGTCAATAGATCTTGCTTTATCAACAAGAGAAGAAAGTCAATAGAACTTAGATATACTACGGTTTTTGTTGGGCCCTGTGTTTAAAATTTAAAAAGTAGTAGAAAGTTCCCTCCAGTTTACGACCGAAAAAAAACATTGGTCCACTACAATTTAAGATAAAATGGCGGCTCTCCACCGAAATGAAGTAACGTTCAATTCTATGCATTAAGCCATGCAAATTTTCTGTGAAGAAGAATAAATCTCCTCATTTTAGCGGATTTTTCTACTGATTTACTCAATGCTAAAACATGGCACGTTTTTGTTCTCGAAACGGAAGCCATTGTGTAACAGATCCCTGGCACTTCCTAACTATAGAGAGACATTCCTTGCCTTCTTTTACTTTCATGCGCTATAATTACTGCGAAATATGCATGGTTTTCGGTTACTACATATGAGAACGTTTTTTACATTTCTTCCAATACAATGTACACTTTAACTGTATTGTTTATTACCTACGCTGTGGTACTTGTTTTTTTACCTCTGTTTGTTCTTTTGTCACCTGCCTAGCTAAAAGAATGTAGATGGATTTTGGTGAAATTTCCAGGATAGGTCACAAATGGACTAAGCTAAATGGGATTTGACTTTGGTGAATATCCATTAATTAAGCAATCAATGACTAGAAATCAATGGTAAATCACAGTTGATTATATATCTTTGGAGAAGGGTTTTGCTGCCTGAGTGTTTTTCTAGTTAGGGTTTGACTCCTGGTGGTTTTATGTGTGCTGCTCTCGAATCAAAGATATTTCAAAGTAGAAAGGTGAAGTGGCACTTTTCTCTCTGTCTCGTAAATGGCCACTCTGTACTGAAATCTCCCCATTGACCCTTGCCCAGTTCACATGCTATCCAATACATCAGAACATGTAGACAAGGAAGTACGACTTGGTGCCGAATATAAGATGCCATTCCATTGAAATATCAAAGACATTAGTGTTAATTACAACATATGTTATATCTCTCAAAGGACGTACCTAAACTAAGCTTTACCCTTTGGAGATTATTTACTAAGAACAAATACATCACTCGTGTAGACCTGCAATAATGTTATGAAATACGTCATGGTATTCTCTTATTTTGTGTTTGACCAAAGAACTTCGTTTGGTAAACTTTTCGCGTTAGGTTATGCAAAAAACATTGCATCCGTCTTGGTATCATTACCATACAATGCCTTCAACGGAAACATATATTGCTTTAATTATTCCTGCCTAAACATAATAGCCTTTTGCCATTATATGCCTTCAATAGATACATATACACAAGGCATCAATGGCAAAGATCTTACGGAAGACGCGTGCAATACACACGTACTTTTTAACGCGGAACGGGCACTTGAAAAACAATAATGACTAACTTTATTTAGTTGAAAATTAAAATGTCCGAACTGCATATAATCGTGTTCGTGTTTGACTCCAGTGTCCTGGAATAAGAATGGGGATAACACAACATTACAGTAATGAAATTAGCCACGAACTATGACTTGGCTCTGGTGCCCAATTAACCTGGGTTTTGTCGATATAATTCGTTTACAGACCACAAGGTATGTTGTGAGAACCGTAAGGGTGACCTATCTCACCTCCACCTAACCCTGCGTATGTTAACATGGGCGCGTTTCCACTACTATACTGGTATTGAGATTTTTTCGACAACATCCAGGAACCCTGTCATAGCCTGTGTCATATAGATGGATGTGATAAGACCTTGGTGACAGTACTTGATAAAGCATGTGGCGTTGTGAACACGTAATCGGAGTATCAGCTAAATGCGTGCTTTTTAGCCAAACTGTTTATATGTAAATATGTAATCTTTCTGAAATTCAGATATTATGGATACAGTTCTTCAGTGATGTTCTATGAACAGTTTAAACTTCTTGGTGACTACAAGAATGAGCTAGTTTATTTTAATGTAATTTATTCATTCCCACGCTCAAATACTTCGGATTATAAATAACTTTCAAATGTGTCTCTTCAAATCTTATTCAGTGGCTTAAGCTGTTGATAATTTCTTTTTTTCTATATATTTTTTGGGGGCGAGGGGATTTTTTCCAACACAGTGTCAGAGACTTCGTGTTTGCTTTTTTCTCTTAAATGTACAAACACCATTTTGTATTCAAAGGCTATGTAAGCATACCACTTGCGACGTCGACTTTTTCCACAAGAGTTACGTAAACAATGCTCCGACTTCTTTGAACTCTTGGTCAACACTCGAAGTTTAACTTAATCGGAATCTCATGCGAATTGTTACAAAAAGAGTGAAAATACCGCTGCTCTGTGTGGCCTGGAGGGATGACCAAATTGCGGGAAAATTACCAAAATAGAGTGGGACTATTAAGCTGCGTCTCCCGCCGCGGAGCACTGAATCACTGCGCCTCAGGCATGGTGAATCAACTGGGACTATTTTGTTGCGTACGCTCGCTTTGCGTGGAAGATTAATGCTTTGTTACTTTTTCATCTCGTAAGTAGATTACGCCCAATCTGATGCAGATTTTCATCAAAGTTATCTCCTGTAAAAAACGTCAACTTACACCAGACCCCCAAGAAAAAACGGCAGGTGTCAGAAAAACAACAGGGAAAGCGCCTGTATTCTTGGTTTGTTCAATGAACTAATATGTAGAAATTAATCCGATTTCGTCATGGCCCCACGCACGCGTTTTTATACGAATTAAGAGCGCTTGCACGCAAAACATTCGTCTGCGCGCACAACACTGTGCTTACATAGCCTGCCTTAGCCGACTATAAACCAGTGTTCATTTTGAAACAAATCTCAGAAAGAAGCAAAATGTATGCGTACAAGTCTATTAGTATATCTCACTTTAAAGAAACCACACCAGCATCCAAAAAGTGTTTAAGTGCCCATCTTTTCTCATAACAATAAAAACTTTTCGTGAGAATTTAACATCTGGCCGTTCAAACACCATTTCCATTAAAAACACTGATGATATTTGTTATATCGAAAGTGCTTTTCTCACATTATCTTTTATTTTTTTCCTTGATTCATTACCAACTTCCATTCTGTGGTAATTTTACCGTGTTACCCTGGGTAGTCATTCCCAGAGACGAGCCGTCTACCCCCCGCCCCCCCCCCCCCCCATGAATACATTATATCAGACGCTGGGATATAAAAACACAGACTACTCAGTATACAGCAAAAACGGTCAATAACATACAATATTAGAAATGCTACTTTTTCTCTTTTACTTAACTTATTCTCATTTTTTTTGGGTTCACACGAGAAGGCATCAAACAGAATTACAGAATCTGTAAAATCAGTGTTTACCTAAATTATTAATGATACACTAACTTTCAGAAACTTGAAAGGCCAAAGACCAAGAAAGCCATTCCAAAGCTGTTACACGCACTAGTGACGCTGTACGCCTCCACATTGCTAAGCCGATTACGATAACACACGTGATACAAAGACGCTTATAGAGCGGGATCAAAAGTCACATGCTCATTTTGACCAGTACAATGGTCAAATGACCAATGCCAATGACCAAAATGACCACTTAGATGACCGGGTGACCAGTAAGTGACCGGTGGGCAGAATTTATTTATGGACAGGTTTATGAGATTTTTACAGTTTCTTGACGCCTCTGGAGAATGTGTCTGCGTCCACTGAGGCCCTATGTCTCCATCCTAGACTACAATATCCTGATGGTGGTTATTTATTGATACCATACGCCACCTACTACATGGGCCCCCTTGCTACTTTTTTATCCGTGGGGTCGGGGGAAAGTGTTAAAATAGCCGCATTCAGTCCCCTAATCTGAATGGGGTCAATGTGATCATGCCATTTCTTGTAAGACTTGTCTGTCAGTGTTTCAATACAACCCGGTGACGGCGGTGACGGTGGTCGCACTTAAGCCAGTTCTACGACCAGACTGACCGGTGCTACATGGTCAAATCCAATCATTGATTCGGCGTTAAACCGTGATGTTAAGTCTAATTATAAGCCGATATAGCTGTACGTGTTATATAAGATACATAAATGTCTTTTATGTTTCCTTCAGCAAAGTTAGCGTAGTTTATTCTTTGAAGGGATAATGTGTATTAACATTGGTTTGATAATAGAAAGCCACACAATAAAGCCAGGAAAACAAATCATTCAGTCATGGAGGCAAAATAGAGGGCCAATTCCAAGACGTATTTGGGATTAAGATAATTACG